TTCTACCGTTGTCTTTCAAATGATCTCTGCATTCCACTGAACAATGAATGTGACATACGCTTGTTTCACTCTGTTGCATCATCCCACCCACCAGGCATATAGAGTGCCCTGATTGGCCCACAAAGCAGATAAAGCTCTGTGATTTGTTCACTGAGCAGATAGAGCACTGTGATTGGCCCACCATTATGGACCAATCACAGCTCTTTATGTGTTTGAAACCCCTCTAGAGAGCTGTGATTGGCTAGCCAGAGTCCTGGTAGGAGCTGCTGAGGTTCCAGTGGAGCATGCCTAGACCAAACTTTGCAAAGCAAGAATTTGGTCTAGTTCACTAGGCTAGCCACAACCAGGACTCTGAACTTTCAACCTTTTAGCTGTGAGGCATCATTGCCACTGCACCACCATGCAGTCCCTATTTCTAACGTCATTTATATATTTAAAACTTTTGTTTTGTCAGAAAATCAAAAGAATGTGCTGAGTGAGTGATTGGGAGCAATGTAATAACATAATGAACCACTTTGTCACCTTTCTGCGTTCGTTCTGTGTTTCTTCTAACTGCGTTACTTTTCTACCACAAGTTTGTTTTACCTTCTATTTCGCTGACGTTTCGACCGCTGCTGCAGTCTTCTTCAGAGCTTGCCGCTGTTGTCGGCGTCACTTCCTTCTCCGTTTATCGTTGGGCAGCAGAGGACGGTGTCGCCCTCTGCTGCCCGCTCTCTCCTCACCGATGACATGATAAATGATAAATGACCCGCACTTGTATAGCGCCTCTCAGAGTAAGGACTCCAAAGCGCTTTACACTACAGTGTATCATTCACCCATTCACACACACATTCATACACTGGTGGGGATGAGCTACGATGTAGCCACAGCTGCCCTGGGGCGCACTGATGGAGGCGAGGCTGCCGAGCGCAGGCGCCACCGGACCCTCCGACCACCACCAGCAGGCAAGGTGGGTTAAGTGTCTTGCCCAAGGACACAACAGCAGAATTCTCTGTCCGGAGCCGGAATCGAACCTGCAACCTTCCGATTACTGGACTACCCGCTCAACCTGCTGAGCTACTGCTGCCCCATGATACTGTCCCATGCGTGAATCTGTAGACCCCCATCGTCTCTGTTCATGGGTGTGTGTCCACGTCTCCATATTTCCATCACTTCCTTAATGCATCGTTTGTATTTTTGTTGTTCAGTGTTTATGATCCACATCCTGTCCCAGTCCATTCGATGATTCTCTTTATGTCACTGTTTTGGTTTAAATTAGACTTTGATTTTTGAATTTACTCATCTATTACATTCATTAACTTGTTTTGTTTGTCTCTCTCAAACTATAAATATTGTAATGATTTAATTTACATGTTATTTAATAAGCCATAAGACAAAAGATTCCATAGTAAATATGAAATCAACCTTATGGATCTGTGAGGTTATTTTAAACCAGAAGATTGGAACTTTTTATTGCAGGGATTAGATAACAGCTTCATATTCACTCAGAGACAACGGAAGAGAGAGAGTCGAGTTTAAAAGTTTAAAGATTTATTAAAAACAAATTAAACTAGACTAACTTTAACACTAAATGTATGGTGTAACTAAGGTGGATGAGACGGAGAATGGTGTGATGTGGAATGTTGCTCAGAACCAGCAAATCCGAAGAAGCGATTAGTTCTGATGGGAACTGAAGGTGATGTCTTCACGTTAAGCTTTGATTAGGAGATTCATAAACACATTCAACGCCATTCCGTCGGTCTACATACCCTTAGCGGAAGTCCCCGTCTAGATCAGGAGGTGTAGTGGTCCAGCTTGACCTCGTGGAGACGAAGTCTGTAGAAACAGCCGCGGCAGCCGACCGCCAGTCTTGAGATACTTCCGGGTCACGACAGTTTGTTGGCTTCTAGCGAGACCCAGAACTGGGTCGTGACGGTTCAGCTTTTATTCTGAAAGGAACCGTTGCAGCGGTTGGAACAGCAACAGATTTTATCCAGCTTGTCGTTGGTTCTTTTGGCTGAAGAGGAAAGTTACGGATTGGCCACTCCGACAACTTCTCTAGAACGCTTTGAACTGGCGTTAGAGATGACGTGGGCATAGTTTTATACTTCGGATGTTTTGAATTATGGTTGAAGAAAAAGATGACAGATTTACCAAACACCACCAAAACCACACCTCCGTCAGATCTGGCAGATTCTGATTGGATCAGTGAAAGCAATGTGTCATCTCTTAACGCTACGTGAGATCAGTCCTAGTGGAAACATTTAAAGTCATATTACTTATTATATTCTATAGGATTATAATAAAGTAATTAATATTTTGATTTCACAGATTGGTCAACATTATATTATTGACTAACACTGTTTGATTAGCTTTATCAAAAATAAAGAATTCTTTGATTAATTAAAAGGAGAGAGTCCTTTCTTCATTCTTCTCTTGAGCTGAAAAGAAAGCAGTTTATAACAAATGCATGAGACCATGAGGCCACATATCGTGCAGACTAGTTCTGTGTCAGAGGAGAGGGGGAAAATGACTTTTGGTGGAAAACAGCCATTTCATTCTGTTACAACATACTAAATAAACTCATGTGCACGATAAAGATTTATCTATTTTTATTTTATTATGTCATTTAAGAAAACCAAATTTCATTTTCATAAAGGAAATTTAACAGCTTTCTGCTTTGAATCAAATTTCTAGTAGTTCTTTAAAACCCAAGTTGCTGTAAAAGGATTAAGTGGGAATTTTAAATAAATGAATCAAAAATATTAGGTTCTTTATTTTAACTGTTTAATATCAATAATCCAGCTAGGTTGCTGACTGGAGCTGACAGAAGACAACACATTTCTCCAATTCTGATATCTCTCCACTGGTTGCCCGTGCAGTTCAGGATAAACTTCAAAATTATGCTTCTGACTTACAAATCCTTGAACCATCAAGCTCCTCCATATCTGTGTGAACTTGTCCATTACTACAAACCGCCGCGTGCTCTCAGGTCTGAAGATAAGCTCCTCCTAGCTGTTCCAAATGCACGTTTAAAAAGCCGTGGAGAAAGGCTTTCTCTGTCTGTGCACCCAAGCTGTGGAACGCATTACCACTGCTAGTGAGGCAAGCACCAACAGCTAGCATTTTTAAATCACGTCTGAAAACTCACTACTTCAACCTAGCGTATACAACATAATTATGACCTCACTTACATCTGCACTGTTTAAAAATGGACTCCACAATTATCGACTTCCGTACTATTGAGGTTCTTTGTATAATGTTTTTTCCTATTTTTATTTCATCCTGTGTCTTAATGATTTTTAGCTGTTATTTTTGGGAATTTTGTTGTATTTCCTTTTTATCTTTTATCTGTGTTCGACATGTTTATATAACGCCTGTTTAATTAACCAACATTTTTAGTGTACAGCGCCTTGTTTGGTTGTAATGCCTTGTGAATGCGCTTTATAAATAAAATTGGATTGGATTGGATTGGAATAATGTAAATAAAAAACACACACCAGACTTTTGGATAACTTGGTCACAGAATTGTATTTTTAGGAAATTTTTAATGTTTTATTCAGTGAAAAATATATTTAGATCTTTAAATAAGTGAATTAATATTTTTGAATGCTTCTTTGGGATTGCACGATACCATCAATCATATCTGGAAGTATCAGGTAATAATAACTGATGATGCTCAGACTGGATCAATTTCAGATCAGTCGAAATTAAACAGAGTTTATTCCAATAATTGTGTTCATTGTTCTTATATTTTAAGAAATTTTGCACGAGATGCAACACTTCAGCGTTGTTTTGTTCCATGTTTAAAATATGATTTCTGGAATAACTTTATTTGTTTATTTCTCTCCTTGTTTCCAGTCACTCCACCAGCTCTTTAAAACACCCGTTAGTTCTTCAGTAATCACCTGCTGCAGCACTGACTCACCTACACACTTTAGTTTCAATGACGAATTTCTATTTGTTGGCCTACAGATGTTGCCACAAGAATCCTTAAAGGTGTGGTTCACTTGTTTAATCAATACATTTGCAGTGGTCTCTAGTAGGAATGAACCCCGTGCGTCTGTTTCAGGATAAGATTGTCAGATCAGAAGAAAGCTTCAGAGGCAGAATTTGGTGTCTTACTTCCTGATATTTGGACCTCTCACCTCTGATAGGCTAACAGCTGCATGGCTCTACCACTGACTCTGTTTACTTTGCAACATTAATGTTTTATCTCCACAGAACGACACAAGCTTGGAGGCGTTTTGCCATGTGGTGGAGTTGCTAATGCTCATTTTTAGCTTCCACGAACCGTTCTCTGCTGTTTCCTGGATGTTGAATCAACAACAGCTTTCCCTGGTCGTGAGTCAAGCTGGGTGAGTCAATGATTGTTAAGTGACAGTGTGACGTAGATCTGTCAGGATTTTCTAATCCTAGAGTTTCACCGTCTGTTTGCTAATGCAGGAGATAGGAGACTATTGTCACATCATGACCAGTTAAATCAGAAATGGTTTTTCAGTGAACCGGTCCTTTAATCATCATCATATATAGCAAAAATAACAAAGACAGGGGGATTGGTTCGGCGTCTGCAGTGATGCGCACGCTGAACCGATCTGTCGTGGTGAAGAGGGAGCTGAGCCAGAAAGCCAGGCTCTCGATTTGCCGGTCGATCTACGTCCCAATCCTCACCTATGGTCATGAGCTTTGGGTAATGACCGAAAGAACGAGATCGCGGATACAAGCGGCCGAAATGAGTTTCCTCCGTAGGGTGGCCGGGCTCAGCCTTAGAGATCGGGTGAGGAGCTCGGACATTCGGGAGGAACTCGGAGTAGAACCGCTGCTCCTCCGGATCGAAAGGAGTCAGTTGAGGTGGTTTGGGCATCTGGTCAGGATGCCTCCTGGACGCCTCCCTGGGGAGGTGTTTCGGGCATGTCCTGCCGGCAGGAGGCCCCCGGGCCGACCCAGGACACGTTGGAGAGGTTACATCTCCAATCTGGTCCGGGAATGCCTTGGGATCCTGCCGGAGGAGCTGGTGGAGGTGGCCGGGGAGAGGACGGTCTGGAGCTCCCTAGTTGGGATGCTTCCCCCGCGACCCGGACCCGGATAAGTGGAGGAAGACGACAATGACGACAAAAAATAACAAAGAGTCCATATTATTGACTTTAAAGTGTAATATCTCAAATGATTGATTTTTACCATTTTAATGGCACAACTTTTATTTGCCACGCCTATGTTTCTACGCCAAACTCTTCAGCTACTTCTTCTCTCACTGCAGAAGCCGTGTCGGAACCGGACCACATCCGTTCCGTATTCGGTGTGAACGAGGTGTTCTCCAACATCATCATGGAAGCAACAACAAAACTGAAATACTTTCACAAAAAACACTTTTCTTATTTCTGAATATCATAAGTGACTTTTTAAGGTGTCAAGGCCACGTTCGGTGCCCTGACCAGGTTGCTTATTGGCCGGGGATGCGTCGCGACGTCTCAGACCACGTCCAGCGTTGTCTGATCTGTTGTCAGTTTCAGCCATCCAACCCTGCACACAGAGCTCCCCTACAGAAAAAGGGACCGTCCACACCGTGGTCGGACTTGCAATCCGATTGGGTGGGGCCTCTGTCCAGGTCCAGCCCTTTGTCACAAATTAGAGGACCTTTGTGACGCTACAACAGTTTGAAAATACGTCTTTAGACACAATGAAAGTAGGTAAATAATGATTTGTTCATCATAGAAAATAAGAAAATGTGACATTTAAGAGTGATTAAAATGTACTTTTTCTCTTCTAGGTTTGTTGTTTTGTTTGAATAAAAAATGCAATTCCTTCTTTTACCACATGCTCAACAAAAGTCCAAATCTCAGCAATGGTGCATTTCATCCTAAAACCACACGCAAAAACATGCACGTCATCACTTTTATTCATTTTTCTTTCACAACTTACAGATTCAGACACACAAGCACAAAACGTGTTCTTTACATCCTCCATAAACTGGAGGTTAATTACACAATTTCATTTGTTAAAACTGCCACATCGCTGCTCTTTGGCTGATTAAAGCACACCTGAAGCGAACGACAGCTGCTCGTTATCAGGCTCAGAGCCCCAGGATCCATTTGCAGTGGTGGCATCTCAAGCACCTCATGTTCATCCTCTGAAGAAGGTGAGACAATCCATTAAGAGAAAGGCATAAACACTCAACTCTGGGAGGCTGATTGTCGCCGCCGTCCTCCATCCAGCCCACCTGACTGCAGCAGCGTGTCAGTTTCACACAAGACAGCTCAAGTCCTGATGGAACACCAAGAGGGAAGAACAAAAGTGAAAGTAAGACGAGAGATCATGAAGCAAAATATATATTTTTACAAACATTAAGCTGATTTAAATAGTTATTATGATTCGTACAGTCGTTTTAATGCAGCACATTGTCTTTCATAATATTGCCAGACCAATTAATCACACCCACCTCATATTAAAAAATATTATTTTATTCATCTTTTTCTATATTTTTCTTAAACAAGCGACTTTCAAGAGGCAGAAAACAAACAAAAAAAATGCACATTATGTTGCTGCTGGCTGCATGAAGCTTCCTACACCATAATTCTTATAAAAACTCAACAAAAATCTAAAAATTTCACTAAAATAACTAGAATATAATCATTTATGAGCTTTCTTTATTATGACAGCAAACATACAAATGAGGCTGGCATTATTTGGGTACAACAGTATCAAGATTGCCACTAACATTTCCTATTTTAGATCATTAAGTTCTTCTGCTCTAATTCTGACATCAGTCTGTTTGCTGCTGTGAAGTTCAGCTTTTCTTATTCATGAATTTGTCTGTTTGCTGACTCGCTCACGTGCACATCCTCTCTCTCAAACTGACGCTGTGCTGGAAGACGGAAACACGTCGGGATCTGAAAAGTTCTGCTTTCATCCTCAAAACAAAGAAAGTTGTAAACGTGTGTCTTTGTTTATTGTTGCTATTTGTTTGTATTTGTTTGTTTTTGTTATCTCAGCCCTTAAGTTCATAACTCTGAAGAATAAACTTCACTCAGCTTTTATTTTGGTTTTAGATGCACAGGGACATTTAAGATGATTTTATTAGATTGGGCTAACATGCAAAAATCATATTAATCTAAAAAACTGTTAATGGTACACAACTATGAGATAAATTACAGTTCTCTCGTTACATTATGAGATGCTGGCCTCCAGTTATAACATATATTTTGTGTTTTTACCACTTGCCTGCCTTCAGTTTTACATACTTATAGCTATTTTTGAAAAAACCTAAAAATCTAAGTTTTAGACAATTGATAAAACATTTGTTTGTCTTTTGGGGCTCACAATAATGGCAAATAAGCTAACAAGGAAACTAATTATCTCAGAAAGTGTAATAATAAGTGTACTTTCTTGAATTTAAATAAAAAACTCATAATTTACACTAAAAGTGACTTTTTCCTCTTACACCTGGTTACCTTGCAATTATTTTCCTTATAATGTATTCATGTAAGGGTCTTTTTTGAAAAGAAAGCAGGATTTAAGCCTCCTTTACTTTTTCATCTTCAACTCTCCTAAAAAGTGCAAATCATTACATTTTAAACTTTAACCAATAAGTTACAGAGAAGTAAGGTTAGTTAAAATCGACATTTGCATCTTTAATGTGTTCACAGACGGTCCGAGCTCCAAAACCAGCAGGAATTAAAGATAAACAGACAAACGTTGGAAAACCTTTATTAGATTTTACAGAGGACACGGGTTTCTGTGTGTTCATAGATTCTGGGAGAATGTAAGATGACCTGAAAGAAAAGAAAAGCGTCTGTGTGAGCTCTTTACTTTTACCTTTCTGGTCAGCCTCCTTGTCTTTCTGCTCACTCGGCTGTTTTTGTAATCTCTACATTCAGTAGAGTCAAGAACCTTGACGCTCGCCGCTCCTTCACAACGATGACACAGGAATGGCTGCTGTTCATTTTCAGCACTTTGACCCAACGTTAAACCTACTTCCACCTATTTGTGAGAACTGCACCATCAGCGTCTTCCTCACACTGATGGGGGGGGGGGGGTCCATGTTTTGTTTTCTGCAAGGTAATAAAACTTCCAATGGAAAACTTTCCTCTACATCTCAGAAACCTTTCTTCAGAATGATTTTTTTAATGCAGAGCAGCTTAAATTAGCTAACATTAAACGTTTAGATTTTTGAATGCAAATGATGGAATTGTGGCTGCATTAGCCTTTATTATTGTGGATTTAATCCATAAGTGGCACAAATGAAAGGAAATCTGGCCACAACATCGTTTGATCATCAGATCTGGGATGGGACACACTTCAGAGGAAAGGTGTTTAATTTAGATAACTTTCTTGTGAATGAACACAGCATGATGGAAGATGGAGATACTCAGAGGTGCAGGCGGGACTTCCGTCCTCCCCTTTAGCTCCACTGGAAACTGGAAACCTCCCAGTTTGATGCACGGGTGCTTATGCTGGTCAGCTTGGCAGGCTCTCCTGTGCAGATTGAAAGCTGCTGTGAAAAATGCTCCAGATGCTTCGTCCCACTGAGAAAACTTGTGATTTGTGCTGTTGTCTTGTTTAGATCCAACCATTAGCTGGGCTGCAGTTTGCTCGAGCCATTTTCATAAAACTCCTCCTGAAGGTTTCGACTGACAGATGTGTTTCCTCTCCATCCTGTTGAACATCCAGATCTTTTTAACCCAATGAGGCCCCCTGCAGGAGCAAAGCTTTTTTTTTTTGACTCATTTGACCCATTTAGCAGATGTTTGCCTGCATGAAAACAGCGGCTTCTCTGGTGTTTAGCAGCTCCCTTCTATTTGGAGTGAAAATCTGATGCAGGATTCGATTTAAGCGTCTGAGGGTTATGTTTTGATTGTAGGCACCTTGGATCAGGGTCGCCAGGGATTTTCGGCCCATTAAAAATAATTATTCATGATTTTCTTTAAATTGATTGAAGAAACTTCAATTGTAACAAAAACATTTGGGGTATCTGTCAGTCACGGACCCTTATGGTTGCCTTTAGAGGCTCCTTTGCCTCTGATAACCTGTTTTACTTTACTGAGTCCCCAAAAAGTAAGTTAATGTCATTTTTTTAAATATTAACATGTTTTCTATTATAAAGAACTTTTATTTAATTTAGATTCACTCCATTGTCTGACTCAGTGTTGATTTCTTTTTTTTTTACTTCACCTCTTTTGTTCACCTCCACTGAAGTGAAATAATCCGTCCCCCTATCCTATTGCGCCACGCCGTGGAGAAATCCAGATCTCTCCCCCGTCCCTCCCCTCCCTCCCTGTTTATTTTCAAGTGTGAACTGCAAACTGCACTAATTGCCTGTGGACTGTTTACGTCCTGTCTGGTTTGTTTTGAAGAGCGATATGATTATGCTCTCAAGATCCATAACAATGTCATAAACCGCAATCATGCACTTAAAAAGACTGTCAAGTTTGCAGCTATGTGTGTTCATTAGAGAGGAGAGAGAGGGGAAAGCAGGCTCTTTTCAGCAGTTGGAGTTTAGTTGCAGTCATTTGCAGTGATGAAATTAAATGATGTTTGCAGGTAAAAAAAATAAAGCTGCATGACGCCAACTGAAGACCTCTGCTTCCATCTCGTGGCAAAGTGGCGCAATAATTCCTCCTCCTTTGCGCCTCCATCCCCTCCATCTCTCTTTAATATGCTGCGAATCTAATCTGGATCTCCTTTAAGGCAATAAAACCCAGATAGCTTCCTTTTTAAAATGAAAAGCAGCGCGTATTATAGCTCTGAAATCCTCGTTTATTTGGCGGTGATGGAGACATGATTCATGTTGAGGTTCAAACGGGCAGGATGACACAGATCCAGCGAATCCCAAGTGCACGTTTCCTCAAGTATTGCATTCTGGGCTATATAATAGCGTTAACCACGCAGGTTGAACCGCAGAGATGCTTGTTTTAATGTGCCGCAGCTTTATCCCCCCCAAGCAGCCAAGAGCAATTTCCGATAAATCTGACCCTGATGAGAAGCTGCTAAAGGAGCTGCGTCCTTTTCTGCGTCTTAATGGTGGAGCAAAAATGCAAAACTATATATTTTTTAGCAGTTTTTAAAAGAACGCGTCTAATTTTCATGATTGTTCGGTCATTCGTTTTAGAAAAAAACAGCTTGATTTTATTTAACTATTTAGAAATTATGATGCAAACACGTCTCGTTTTAAGCCTTTTTCATGTGATTGCTTCTCTCTCTCTCTTTTTTTAAGTCAGTGGAACGCCTTGTCAGTGAAACCAGCTGCATCGTCCAGATCACTGGGTTCACGTGAAATGCAAATGGGAGCGATTGCATTTAAAATCTTATTATTATTATTATTAGTAGTAGTAGTAGTAGTAGTAGTAGTAGTAGTATTATCTTTTTTAAGTGTGTGTAACTGCAAACGGAGTCAAATTCACGAAAATCCACTATTTCTACCTACAAGACGGAAGTTCTCGTGTTTTTACATAATTATCAAGACCCAGCACACAGAGAGGAACATTGTCTGGAATTAAAAATAGTTTATACGCACTGGTGAGCCACTTTTTTATTTAATTTATTTATTTTTGGGTCAGACAATAATCCGTCTTTCACTCGGGAGAAAGCAGGGGTAGAAGGCAAACAGAAATGAGAAGGCTGTTGTTGGCTCAGCTCTCTCAAGGAAGAAGGACTGCCTGTTGTCCGTGAATGGAGCTTCTTCTTCAGACCAGAATAGATATAGCACGAATTTTTAATTCGTTTTTCTTTCAGAGACAACAATGCTTTATTTGAAGGCTCGGTACAATTTGGGGCTTGTAGAGACCCTTTTCTCCTTTTCCGAACCCAGCTGCCCATATGGGACACAACGTGTGCAAGAAAAGATCACAATGGCACCAAGTGACAGGCGGGACAAAAAGCCCAAGGATTCATCTCCCTGACTCTGAACAGCACCAAGAAACTCTGTCTATCTACTGCCTGCGTCTCCACTCCTGCTGCTCGTTAATATGCACGCCTCCAACATCCAGCAGAACCGGGCCAAAGCTTTGTCTTTGGACTGCCTTGTGTACTGTATTGTGCAGAGATTGAGTCTCACACATCCGACCCCCAAAAAGAAAAGAAAAGTGAGAATGTTTGTTTTACTTTTAGATATTTTTGGCATCTAATCCCAATTTAAAATCTCAGTTAAGTCTCTGTCATTTTTAACTACATTTGCTGCAAAAGTTGCTGATTTATTTGACCTGCAAGCTCAACCAGTGTTTGAAACAGAGGGACAAATCGAGTCCCCCTCGCTGCACAAAAGCAGTAGCCCCCGGAGACTCAATTCTGTAAATAATTAGCAAATTTGCCTAATTTAGCTGTTTGTTCGGTGATGATAGGGGCGACTCTAACATCTGCTGGGAGAATTCCGTCCCGGGACAAACAAAATGCATGGATTTTTTTTTATATTTACCCAAGATATTGACGGAGTCAGATAATCCGCAGTGCGCTCCGCGGATCATGGGGCACAATTGCGCTTTTCTTTGGCTCCGATAGGAAAGGAAACACCCTCAGGATACGCGTAACTTGTGGTTTTGATAGTGTTGATGGTAATTTATAAAGTCGCGTCAGAAACAACTTTATTGGACCCTTTAAGAGCTTGCAGTGCTGTGCCTTTTTTAGTTTGCTGTGGTTAAACAAAGAAAGCAGGCGCGTCGGTGACTGCCTCTGTTTGCAGTTTAGCGCTTAATAAGATAACAAAACATTTATTGCATTAAACGATGCTTTTTCTGGCGCTGTGTTCCACTTTACGCACGAGGCCGGGAGTGGCTGGGAGCCTGACAAAAAGGAGTGCTTTCGGCTCAAAAGCTTCTTGTGTTGAGAAGCCCACTTATATTAAGTGAGTGGATTTTAGTCCCATTTCACGAGTGACTTTAGGCTCTTTATTAGTGAGAAAAATAATCTCTGGGATTAAATTTGACCAAAAAGAAAAGAGTTGAAGTGCGCTGGAGATTTATTCTCATGGTAAACACTATTCTGCGCCATGACTTGGTGTTCAGCGACGCTTTTCTCTCATAAACGATACTTATTGACAAAAGCCTCATTTTAGAAATTCAATTGTGTTTGATGAAACATTTTTGTATAAAATCTGAAGATATATAACATTCACGCGACTATTGTTTGTTTAATACACATATGTGTCAAATTCCCGATTTCTTCCTTTTTTGTACGTAAAAAAAATCACAAAATTTTGTCAAATTTGCATACTTTTGCACCACCTGCCCCCGAAATATTCCCAAGAAATGAAAACAAAAGGGGAAAAAAGGCTGAAAACTTGCCAGTTTTTATTCATGGCCATAAATACTTTTTTCGGTCCATAAAAGAAGCAAGAAATTAAAATTTCTATAATTATAAAGTGGTTCGTACGTGCTGATTATAACACTAAGGGACAAAATAAAACCATAATAATAATAATCATAATAATTATAATAATAATAAAAAGGAAAACATCTCTACAACCAACACACAACATACTTTACAAAAGAAATATTCACAAGAAGAGCATTGACGTTCTCAATAAAATCTATAAGGGAGAGATTTGGACCCAGTTCTCTTAACGAAAACATGTAAACACGGCGCACACATGAGCCCCGAATAAAAATGGGAGTATTTATATGAGTCAAGCTGCAAAAAATGAAAAGTCTCGTTTGTTTTTGTGTTTTACTCTTTTTTTTCTTTGCTTTGTGGTGAAACTCCCTATCGCACCTCCAAGCCAAGTCTCTATAATTTCTCTCACCAAGTCCACTGTTGCGTTTGCACCAAGTGGTGCGCTGTGGGGAACTGTGGCGTGGCCGCGGCGCTGTACTGCGCGTTATACTGCATGTGCTGCAGGGATTGCGCGCTATACGCCGAGAAGGGGATCCCGGCCTGAAAAGTGGCCGCCAAGTCCTGAGCTTTAAGAGTGTGACAAGGCTTTCCATCCCTGACTAAGACGGGCACGGCCACCCGCCTGGGAGAAGGGAGATGGGTCACTTCCATACCTTTCTCGGCCCGGGCTCTCTTCATCTTATATCGGTGGTTCTGGAACCAGATCTTCACCTGGGTCGGGGTGAGGCGGATCAAGCTGGCCAAGTGCTCCCTCTCCGGGGCGGACAGGTACCTCTGCTGCCTGAAGCGACGCTCCAGCTCGTAGGTCTGCGCCTTTGAAAACAACACCCTCCTTTTGCGCTTCTTGCCGGAGTCGCTGCCGCCGCTGCTGGAAGTTTCCTTGTCGTTATCCGGGGATTCGTCGTCCGCGGACGGCTCCGGGGACTTGGCCGAGTCCTGAGAGTTTGCGGATAGACCGTGCACTGCGACAAGAAACGGGAGAAACACTGTCAAAATGTTATGTTGGGAAGTTCTGAGAGACATTTTCAACAAAGCAACACAGACAATCAGTTTAGCCATGGAGGGAAATGTGCGCAAACCCGGTTTTGAGATTTATGGGAGCTCTCGATACTTTAAAGTCACAAACATGAAAGAATAACAAAACTATCCGATTTAAGTGCAGTTTTATTGGCTGGGGAATAAATAAAAAGGAGACGTGATAAATTTCAAAAGGTCAGTGAAGCGTAAAATATGCATTTTCTCTCTTTTTGAAAAAAAAAGCACTTTTTCATTTCTCTCAGTGATCGGATAACTCTAAACAAGCGAGTCTCGCAGCCACCTCCGTCTTATTTGTAAGATTCCTGCAAAACAAAGTGCGCTGAACCTTAACACTGCATGCATTTCCTCAGCCATGGAGCCGAGCTGTGCACGGTGCACGCCGCCCAAGGGCATCATCGGGGCGTAATATGAGACTGCATGCCATCAATTATCACCTAATGCAACCGCGAAGGTCGGAAATGTCACATTATCAACATGATCACAGTGAAGATTCTGCGTCTCAACTTACATGAATACTGGATGCTGTCCGTAGTAGCGAGCCATCGTGTGTAAGGATTGTCACTACTGTCATAAAAGGGGTTCTTTAAAGGCAGATTTTGCACGTTTTCCAGGGGACTTTGCACCAAAACTCCAGTGGTTTTCGTCGTGGACGTGGTCTCCGATCCCTCCGTGTCATCCTCCGCTCCGGTGATAGATCCGTCCTCATCATTTGTGTCAGGAAGGTCCAAAATGTCCTTTACAGAAAAGCCCGTCTTTGTGTTGGTCAACGACATATTCTGGTGGGGGAAAATATGCAGGGGGGGAAAAGTTGCCGCACCAGCTTGCCGGACAATCCGCTGTTGTAGAAGAAACAAACAAGAAAGGAAAGGAAAAAAAAGATAGATGCGATTTTTCAGGAGAAAACAGGACGAGTGAGAGTCGCTCTACGCTGAAGTACAGTGGAAGCAGCAGCAGCTGTGGGAAACCATCGCCTGAGCAAGTGGATTCAGTCAGTCTCTGTAAGTCCAGGAAGGATGCCAAAGTGGCTGAAGTGCTATATGTGGCTCATGGATACTGCGCTACTGCTGGGTGCTAGAGGGAAATAAGCCATTACCTTGTCCGATCAGTCCATATAAGGTTGGTCTCAACACATGAACCTGCAGTGAAAAAGCATTAAAAACGCGAAAGGTTGGCCACGTGTGGGCGGGTCTTAGGAGTCAAGTGGATGAAGACAGTGTTTGCAGATGGGAAATTGTGGGTTTTGGGGAGATCCGAGCCTCTACCATTGGTGCTTCAGAGCATGATGAGTGGTATAACGTGTCAATTAATTACAAAGACGGGGAGGGCCTTTTTACACCCTATTTACATACAAAGAACCTCCAAGTAGCCTCATACTCGCGATACTTAAAATAAAACCCTTCTAACAGAAGATTTAGCTTATTTCAATTTTAAATTCTCATAATAAATAATTCCAACGTTGGGGCGTTTTAAAATTCGATGCTGTGAGATGTTTCTGGAGATGGAAACAGCGAGGAAGGCCGTTCAAGAATGAGGAGATAATTTATGTAAACCTTTTGTGTCAATATTTTTGCCAGGGCTTAAGGACAAGAGGTTGTGTTGAAACTGAAGCAGGACTCTGTTTGTTCGAAAAGGCTGAGCAAGTATTTAAGACACGGATGAGTATCAATAATAATAATAATAATAGTAATAATAATAATAATAATAATAATAATAATAATAATAATAATAATAATAATAATAATAATAGTAATGATAGTAATGTTAGTAATGATAGTAATAATAGTAATAATAAAAGTAATAATAATAATAATAATAATAATAATAATAGTCTAGTTTGGAATGAAGAAAAATATTGTTTTTCAAAATAAAAGCTTTTTTCCGAATAATCTATTTTAAAGTAGAAAGTTATTTTTATCAATTACTTTCCAATATTTGTTTTTTTTTCTTCTTTTTTACTTAAAGTCGTTTTCCTTTCTTGTGAAATCCAAAGTACCCTTGCTTACTTTTATTCTCCTCCTCTCCAACACTTTCCCCTTCGCTCTCCTCCCTCTGCCTCCTAGTATGTGATGTGGGTGACAATGTTTCGCGTTTTTTCGCAGCTCCTCTGCGCATCCTGGGTGGTCGGACCCGGGCAAACACAAATACAAACCGATCGCTAAGCTGCAGACAATGGGGGAAATGTAGACAAATGTCCGGCTCCTGTTGGAAGCTTTTGTCCGGCCGCAGTTTTTGCATTCATTTCAGAGGCGAAATAATAGATGATTGACGCCGCGCGCACAATGCTTTCTAACTGTTTGGAATAAGTCTGAGATTGTTCCGAGTTGTCATGGCATTCAACTGCTTTCAATGGACTATCTCTTCATTCAATTCCAGGATCCTTCCACAATATTAAGGAAAGTCCTTCGTTAAAGCGCGCAAACATGAAGCCACACAGAAAGACTGTCTGCCATTTAATTTCTCTTAGATGTATTAAATTATTATTATTATTGTTATTGTTATTATTATTATTATTATTATTATTATTATTGTTATTATTATTTTTTTGTTATTATTGTTATAATTGGTATTGTAATAATAATAATAATTATTATTATTATTATTAATGTTATAGTTATTGTTATTATCATTAATATATGTGAAATAAAATATTTTTTAAATATTTTGAGTAAAAATGGCACTACATTTTTCCACTTTTACGCATTTATGGAAGGGAGCGCCTGACGCACCGGCCTGAGGTAAATATTTCACCAGATTGCCAGAATTAATCACAAGTCTCAGCATCCCACAAAGGCTCCATTGAGCTGAACGGGCTGTTTGGACAAACTGGAGCTGCGCATGAGCCTCCACAGTGGAGAGAGAGGTTACTGACCTGATCCACCAAGTAATGCTGCGCAGCTAAATCCGACATATGAGGGGGGACACGCAGCCCACACCAGACTCCAGAAAGCTTCACGCATCGCGCAGGGATGGCCCGGGCTGTAGCCTCCACGCGCATCTCATCAGTGGACTCACTTGGCCCGCGCGCAGGGCGTTTATTTGCTGAGAAATCGGGGAATGTTTGAGCACGCGGGGGTTATCACCCGTGTCACTCCACGCTTCTTTCCGCGGTGAGTGGCGCAGGGACAAGGTGGGAGTAGCTTTGGGTCTGGTGACGGTCCATGGGAGCGCGCGCCATGGCTGCTGAGTGTGGTCAGTTGCCGGGGATATGCTGCTATTTGATCAACTGAGCCGAGGGTTTCCTTAAGAAGAGGTAAACGTGGATTGGCTAAGTGGACGTGCTCCACTTGGAGAGCATATCGCTCTGTGTTTACCTGTTTACCTTCACAGGTAGTTCAAACAGGCCTTTTCCGTGTGACAAGAGCCAGTGTGCAGAATGTTTATTTTTCTGGATGGGACAAAATGTTTAAGAAACATTTGGATGACGCTGCATCTTTGTGCAGTTGTTTTAAATAAATGTCTGCTAAAATAAAGTGTCAGTTGTTTAAACACGATTGGTAAGTTTTGTGATTCTGATTATGTTTGAATAATAAAGTCAGAATAAAATGAAATTAAAAAATATTCCTGTGCGTCTAAAAGTCTAAACGGTGCAGCTCGTGTGTGTGTGTGTGTGTGTGTGTGTGTGTGTGTGTGTGTGTGTGTGTGTGTGTGTGTGTGTGTGTGTGTGTGTGTGTGTGTGTGTGTGTGTGTGTGTGTGTGTGTGTGTGTGTGTGTGTGTGTGTGTGTGTGTGTGTGTGTGTGTGTAAGAAGGGCCTCTGAGGTGCAGATGCATCAGGATTTAGAAGACAATAAAGGGTGCAGAGCTGGCGCATCGCTTGTTTCAGTCCAGCTGACACTAAATCTCCAGCTCTGAATCCCGAACTAAAACATTTTACTTTAATTTTCCTCACCGGGATCCCCAACCCACTTTTTTGTGCTCCAAATCGCGCGCACAACCCTTTTTATGATCATTTCTCCTGTATTTATCGCCACTAGTGTTCCATTTTAATATTAAACTGCAGAGCTGAACGCCTCATTGTTCAAGCTTGTTAAACGTTTTTCTTTGATCCCAAACATGCAATCAGAAGACTTTTTCCAAAAACAATTAATTTTTTCGGATCAACCCTCCCTTCCCCTAAAAATGGACCCCAGTCTGATTAATTATAATTCCCTCCTAAAAATTCATGCCCACGATTGTTCCCAAATAAGCAAAGAAAGGGTTTTTATGTCCCTGATTGAATAAATCTTTCCTTTGAAAGGGAGAAAATAAAATGCCGCGGGAGAATCCTTAATAATGTTGATCATTGCTTTCCTTTAATCGCTGAATTTCAGCGTGTTTGAATGCCTGAGGCGGGGAGTTAGGCTTTGATAAAGGTAACCCCGCCCGCCTCAGGGTGTCCATGATAAATGTACAGAGTGACAAGGCCAATTCCCCCATCCATGATTAAAAGCCAATTTATTAAAAGCAGGTAAAGCCGGTTCCAGGTTATTTATGGGGCTGGAAGGGCCCGAGGAAACGTTGCCTGGGGGTGAGATTTTTTCCCTTCTAGAAATCTGAATTCTTCCTTTCCTGGCCAACAAAAAGAGTCTTTATTCGTCTTTTCTCCTTTAATGACTGAACATGTCACGGTGAGATTACAGCGTCGCGCCCATGCCCCGAGGAGATGCCTTAATTTGTTAAACCACCAGTTTATTTGTAACGGTGAATTTCACGCCACCCTGAGCCAGTCGCCTTCATCTTTTCTTCTTCTTTTCCATCATGTCAAGACGAACCTCTTAAAAAGTTTATTATTATTAGTTAACCACTTCCTTTTCCAGTACGCCACTGACTCTGGCGCAGAGGTGGCGCATTGCAAAGATAAGACAGAAAGTTGAATGCGTAAATCTAAATAAGCAGAAAGTATTCGATGGTCTGGTCACGGATGGCCCACGTGCGGATAACTTCTCCTAAAGACGACGTGTTTGTGAGAGGAGAGGGGAAATAACATGAACAGCTGTTGACATCTGTAGAGCTCTAGCGGTCTCTGCCGGCTAAATTAAGAAACAACAGGGGGTGATCTTCGTGTGCACCCAATTAGACAATTTATAATAGCCAATATTGTTGCTCACATGGAGCCACTGTCATTAGCCTGCAAAGAACTGAGCCGTATTTATCATAATCCATATTATATAACTTTACGCACAAGATGCATATGTGTTTGGTGTTTTTTCCTTCTAATAAGTGATCATAATTATGATTTCTATGGTTTATTCACCGCGCCGTGAATTACCCTTGAGAACCAACGCAAAGGCCACTCTTACAGAGCCCAACAATAATGCTCAACCAAGCAGAGCCTGCGCAGGTGAGTGTGCGTAATGATCACCAGCTACTGTGTGGCTAAAAGCACTGGCCTACGCACAGATTAAACCCCACCTTTTTTTTCAAAGGCAGAAATTAAAAAAGCAGCCAGATCAGGGTCATTCTAGTCAAGGTCTATATTTAGTGTGCGCTCTTGTAGAAAATACAGAGGAAACCTAAACAAAAACAGTGTTAAGCTTTGAAATTTTAAAAATAACACCGAGAAGTGCCTGAAGCGTCCTGTGCGCTTACCTAAACCGGAAGGATGCGTGCAGCTTGCAGGACAGCGCGCAGACTTACTGAAATATCTCCAGATGGGAGTCAGGAGTGCGCACTGAGATGAGCCTGATGCGGTTTATATACCCAGAAAGCAAGTGCTCCTCTTCTCAGATTGTCCAAGAGCGTTTGCATAGCTGGCCAAGTGGCTCTGCACTTGCTGACTCGCTAACATTGCATGGTGTTTGTTTTCCCTCGCGCTCTGACGTGAGACAAAATATTGGCCATATGTTCATCTGCAATAAATTGAGCGCAAACACAGCTCCCAAAAGGAGGGCGCATTTATCTCCCCCATGAAATGTTTCCCTTTTTTTATTTATTTGAGACATTTTGGGGGACAAGAAACAGGTTTAGATGATGTTGTCAGAACAGGCTGTTTAGGAGATAATTGCGCGCCCATGGAAGCTTCGCTGGTTGGTCTTTACACTGCGACCTATTATTCCTCACGCGGGTCTCTAATAAATCGCTTGGTAACCAAGTAGCAGCTCTGCCTAAAGAGCAGATGTGGCATGTTATCCACACCACAGTCGCGTTTACATTAGATACCCCTGATACAATGATTGATAACAGAGGTCAGCTCCCATGAGGCTCAGCGCCAACGCGCATTGTTTGCAGCACGCACGGAGGAAACCACATGGGGCAATTGGACATAATAATAATAATAATAATAATAATAATAATAATAATAATAATAATAATAATAATAATAATAATAATAAATGGACCAAAACGAAATAAAACATTTTTAAATGTATATATCTTATCTAAAATGTAAACTGCAATACACATCCTTATTGTATTATTGTATTATTTAAAAAAAGTAAGTATCTCATATGATTTTCAAACATTTGGCCAATTTTTGCAGACCTTATCCTATTTGTTACCTTTTTAAAAATAAATGTGACAATTGTAAATATAAGAAGAAAATGCAATAACTTCATATAAATTTGGTCACTACAAAAAAAACAACATTTAGTGGTTTAAAAGCTTTATATGAGCAACATTTAGCCAGAATTTAACACATAAATTACAATTTTATTCATATTAAGAGTTGCTGTGCCTGCTTTAACTGATTCCTTACATCATTTAAGGAAAAATCTCCTTAACTCATCTTTGCACCTGTTTTGTGTTCGCTGAAGATTGCCTCGTGGATTTGGTTTGTGCAAAGATGGCGACAGAGAATAATGGTCAAGGAAGAAAGCAATGTGGAGGCAAACACCAGTTGTGCTCTAATGACACCTTGGGAGTGAATAACTTAAATCAAGACAATGATTTTATTGTGGACAACCTGGAATCCATGCATGATAATAACGGTGTTGCCTGGCAGTGCAGGAGCGTCCATCAATCAAGAGCGAATGCCTCACTGATGGGTTTTGTGTGGGGCCACTTTGCTGATGAAAGACAGAGATTATGGTGCCAAGAGCATCACTAAAACGGTGGGAATACAAATAAATAAATTGGTCTCATACCTTGTTGGAAATCCCACACTAAGGCAAAGCGGTTTAGTTAGAGTTGGAATGTATTCATGAGGTTCAGACGAATGTGGAAAAAGCTTTCCACTCAGCGGCTCGGTGAATACTCTTGTGCTGTTTGAGATGTGCCACAAGTGCTCTGGGTGCTGAACACAAGACCTCCTAAAAAAAGGATGGGTAAGATAGGCCCTGGCGGTCAAGCTATTATCAATCCCTGGCCTGAAGCTTGATGACTAAGATACTTCAGATGTGGTTAATGGCTGCGTAAGAACACTGATGGCACAGCCATTCTGAAATCAATCAGTTCAAGTTTTAATGTATCGACCACTCGAGGAGAAGCGAGAGAGGGCCAGCATCTCGACACACAAACGCCAAAGAGATGGGGCTGATTTTTCTAGAAGATACACTTTGAAAAAAAGTTTAATTAAACCTGAGGACTCACTTGTGTGGCTGAAACTCATCCACGATGATAGCCAGTCCCATCAGCGTGAAAGGCTCAGGCAGGTTTTCCTCGCAAACACACAACTACAAAGGTTTGGTGTTAGATCAGAGTCCTCGGCGCTGAGGCGAAGAGATTGGAGTTTTTAGCGCTTCGAGAGATGTGAAGCCAAGTAGAGGAAATGAGTTGTTTTCCACCAAAGTGCCCAATTCTGCACACTAGTGAATATTGCTGTCTCTTAAATGACAACGGTGCATTGTTGCTGAGAGGAGCGGTGGAGTGCAGGGCCATCGGACTTAACATTTTTGCCCTGCTGTGTTACCTACTGGAGAGGACGAGAAGGGATGGAACAATGAGTGTGAAAGTGGTGAGCTGAGCCAAAGTGTTAACTGAGTGAGAAAAAAAAATAAAGTTCATCAAGGGCGCTTGTGAAATGTCTGGAATTTCCATCAAAATATCAGATTTATGGGCTGCATGGAAGGGTTTTGTGGGCATTACTTGACATGAATAACTTTATACTTGAATGCCTCTTGTTTTCCCAGAGCTGAGCCTCTGGCGAGAGGTCGGTCTTCAACCCTGAAGATCCGTATAGCCGTTTGTGAAGCCTTATGGAGGCCAACATCGCAGCACTTAGTTGACTCTTTCTGTAAGCATGTCAGGCCTTTTGGCGTGCGGGGACAAAAGAAACGGCCCGTTCTAGGTCAGACATGTGAAGACCTGAGAGCCCAAGAAACACTAAGGAACAGAAAGGATCAGACAAGAAGATGTCGACTGAGTCAGAGACCATCAGGGAGCATAATGTGGATGTTACAGCCGGCTCATGTGGGAAGTGAAGATGTATATGAAGAAGCTGGATGAAAGCTGTAAGTGATGGGAGGAAACAGAAAAGAAAGGACTGGATTTACAGCTGCAAGGCTGTGATGATGTTCGATACTTTCATCAGAGGCTAGAAGG